TTATTATTCTTCTGTCTGTTCCGTTTCTAAAAAACGCAAAAGGTGAACGTAAGGTACACAAAATACTATATTTCTACACGACTTAAATTCAATCAGACATTCTTTGTCTTAAATTCGCATGAGCATGTTGGAAATTTTGTTTTTGTGTCAAGGTCAAAAAGCGAATGGTTTGTGCATTCAAACGAACGCTTCTTTTACGGCATTTTGTGCAAAACAACATCGCAGGTAGCCAAACACCATTTGTAAAATACAAATTTACAAGGGTAATGCAAGCAAATGGGATTCTTTTAACTTGGATTCACTTGAATGTAAACAATTATCAACAATATTTTCAAGTTCGGGAAGGGATATATTTTATACTTCTTTTACTTATTTTTGAGTTCCTTCATACCATAATCGATATTAGCGTGCAGTTTGGTTCTCTGTTTCGTATTAGCATAGGAGATTCCTTCGATATGATACTTCTCCCAATTTTCTCAAAACTAATGGTCATTTATCTTAATAAACCTAACTAAATTGACGATTTAACTAAGTAAATGTCTTTCGCAGAATTCAATAAACTGAATGAATCAAAATAGTGTTAAAAAATAAACGCTTAATTGCCTGGTCAAATTTCATATTGAACGTTGCATGGTCATTGGCGACTACTGTATAATGGATAAAAACCTCAAATTCTAAAAAAGCACATCATGGACAAGTTTTATTTGAAAACGAAAGCCACCCTTTCGCTTAATCTAAAATTCGGAGAGGGTGTAACTTTCTATCAAAAAAGTGCAAGAATTGGTTTTTTTCCTCCATGTTTTCCGTGAAGTATGTTTAGCTTTATAAAGGCAGTCAAACGCAATGATAAAAAACATACTACATAATTAGCTAGTTTTTTGCAATATATACTTTTTGCTAGTGGTCAGAACGAAGTTTGCTAATAAGTCGGAATCCTATCCTGACTGAAATAATTTCAGAATAGACTACACGACAATCAGTATCAGAACTTGGGTCAATGCCGATCACCGAATGACTATCCGTCTTTCGCATATGTCGGAATGTTGCGTGATGTGTGGCGTGTACTGTGGGTAGGGCCCATATGTTCGCGCTCCACAGCGAATCGATGGTTTTTTTCAACGGCAGTGAAACTTCAAATTAGCATTCAGCCTTGATACTGTCAACGCTTGTTTTAGATAACGCCTTTGTGATTGTAGGAAGGACCGCACGAATTAATGAATTCAACGTTTGAACCCGTCGTTGGACTCCAGCTACACCCCTGGCCTTCCCACGTTCCCGTATAGCCTGCTGTACCGTGAAAATTAGCCGTTCAGGGGAAAGGAACCAAATGGACATCGGTATTATCATTTGTGGTGGTGAAAATATCGATGCAAAACCCGTAAACACTGTTGAACTATTTATTCCGCAACAGAATCGGTAATTGTATTGTATTTTTTACCGTCGTATTGCAGATATTTGAGCATTTCGCGAACTCGTATACACAAAAAGGTTCGCCTTGTAGATATTTGCATCTAGAAAGAATAAGACGTATCGAGCACCGGACTAATTGTTTTATTGTGCTGAGTCGTCAAACTCTTACAGGCGTTCACCTTAAGAGAGAATGTGTAGCAAGCAAAAGTAGGATAATCATGGTAGACAAAAGCTAATCAACTGTCAGAAGTCATCAGCTTGTCAAGGTGTTAGAAACAGTGATCAAATAAGGTGCGGGCAAATATAGTGGTGCTCGCTAATTAGCTGTCAGTGGAACCAGGAATCACTCGGTATCATGAACAGCACTTAGCATGACATCTTGCCCCAACAAGTGGGGATACTGGTAACTCTGCCTCCTACTACAGTTGGTTCTTCGTGGCGTTTTGTTCTCTTGCCCTTCTTATGTTCGGTTTCAACTAAACTAGACTGAATAAACTAAAACTTTAACCAAAAACCATAGCAATACTTGTATTACTAAAAGCCACTGCAGGAAGCTGAATATTTCCTTGTGGGGAGTATAATGTAATTGCCAGTACTAAATGCGTACACGAAAAAGCAGGCGAACGTCCGCAAAAAAAGCAGTCAGTAGTGCAAAGCAAACAGGTGCGTTTTGTAAATTGAACGCTTGACCGCTATTTAAAAAATACACATAAGCTAGGACTTTATATGAACTTGGCCCATCCATTGACAATTTCGAAAAGCAATTCATCTAAGTCATTCACTGCGTCCTTACACATTCTTTACTTGATTATCATGTTGCACGTGTAGAGTACACAGTTTACCATCAATGCGGGCCATCAGAGCGGCCGGGGCAGCTGTCGCCCTTTCCGATGGACGAGTGTTTGTGGCGGGCGGTTTCAACTCACGCGAGTTAACCCCAAATTCCGACCAGGCCAGTGTGGAGTTCTGCAACCTGCAGTCACACTGGGAGGCAAGCGACGCCGGTGAGTTTTGGCGACCAGCCGCGCCAATGATTAACGCCCGCAATTACTTTGCTATGGTCTATTTTAAGGGAAAGGTGATTGCCGCTGGTGGCGGGCCTGAAGGGAAAGAAGTCGAGGTCTTCACCCCACCGGACGCTGATCATCCTCTCGGACAATGGGCCCTGTCGACACCAATGTCCACATTACGCTCATGTTCAGCCCTTCTCATCTGTAATAGTCGATTATTTGCATTTGGAAGTGAGTATTGTTTTCAAATTAAAGGTAGTGTATGTTTTAGTAATTTACCTATGGCGTTTGTCGCCTAGGTACACAAGTCTGCGAGCTTAACTGTTTGGCATTTGTTTCCGTATTCATAATAAATTTTAAAAATACCTTTTCAGCGCTTTTGCATTCAAGCCTTTGACTAATTTTCTGACCCTCAGGCCTGAAGTAAAGATTTCTGAATGCCCCTAACCTCTTCTGATTGCTTCTTCGTGTAAACTCTATCTATAGTAGCGTATCTCAGGGTAGTTTCAAAGTTGAATTCCAAATGCGAGGCAAAAGTACACCTTGAGTAGACGGACGTGTTGCCTGACAGTACCCGTTGCTCAATTAGTTTTAGACGGAAGTCCACATAGCACTCAAAAACACTCAATAACATCCATTTTTAATTTTTTTTAATCAAGTTTTCATAAGTGTCAGAATCTTTATGAGTACTCTGATGTGTTTTACCTATGACGGATGTCAAGATGGAATGCAGTCGACCGCAGGCGAGATGAAGCTGTTTGAAGGACGAGACTTGTCTGACCAAATGCGCTGTTCACGTAAGATGAACGCATTGTATAAAAAGAAACAAATAGCCTCAGCCCCAATCCTATCGACCGCCATGTGAACTAAAACGCTATATAAGTAAACATAC